CACACAAATAGTAGTCAATTTAAATGGCATTTTTAAAAAAGAAGATTTTATTTGAAATAAATAATATTTTAAATGTTATTTTTAATTAAAGATTTTGTGATAAATCAACCATATTTTTACAGTGTGTCTCAAAAAAAGGGCGCCTACATTCTAACTAAAAAAGGAATGAAAATCATGTAATAAAAATTATGCCAAAGGATCAGACAATCTTGAATTATCACATATAAAAATTTTGAAACATATTGTTATGTAGACTTCAGAGTAATTATTATATTAAATTTCTTTTTCCAAAAATAATCAATTTCATTTTATTTTTAATTGATAAAGTCCTAGAAAATCTGGAGGCATGAGATTTTATATAAATAATCTTTAGAACTTGAGCTGCAAATTAGTCCGATTTTTTTTGTTATTATTATATACGTTTTGTTCAATTGATACCTTTGAGGTGTTTAATACTTTTTGATAGAAGTCAAAAAATTTAGTGTAGTCTAAAAAAAAGATGCGAATCAACTTTACAAAAAATTGGCAATAGCAATTCATATCAAATTTTTTTTATTTAACAAACTATTTGATGGGCTTTTAAATGAATACAATTTTATTAAATTATCTTTTGTAATTGTTGAGATATGCTTTTTGTTGTGTGCGCCCTTTTTTTTGAAACACACTGTATATATTTAATAAAGTTTCTTTATTTCTTTTTTTAAATAATTTAATTAATTAAAATTTTAAATTTTGAACATTTGCTTATTTGAGTAGTTTCAAATAGAATTTTATTAAATTTAAAACAATATACTACAGCAAAATTTTTTTAGGAAATGTGAAATTTTGCACGTGTAATTTTTTTGCAAGACTTAAACTGATTTGTGCTCTTTATTTGCGCACTTTATTATTATGTCAAATTTTCCTAAAAGCATCATTGATAAAAAAAAATTCAGTTTTACGGTTTTGGCATAACCAAAAATACAAAATAATAAATTTCAATGATTTTCTTTTGACGTTTTGTTTATTTATTTGCTATCTGTTTTAATGTAACAGAAAATAAAATTTTTTTTAATTATTGCAGCTGAGTCATGTATCACAA